ATTCTTTGCGATGAGGATAGAGATTGATAGGAATGGAGAAGATCAAAAATAGATGCCTAGGTTCAATATCTACAGTACCTCAGAAAGTTGTGTTTTATTAAAAAATATGAAAACTTTTTTTTGTATATATTGTATTTATTTACATACAAAATATTATACTATATAAATATATTTTATCTTTATATTTTGTGTTATATTAGTGTGTTTGCTTTTCACAAACTTGTTTAAAAGGTTTGTTTTTCTTCATGTTTTTCTATTTACAGAGGTTTATACTGTTGTTTACAAATGAAGTTTCATGTTTTATACTAATTTGATTAAGTTATTGTTGTGCAATAAAACAAACAAACAAACAAACAATAACTCTTTCTCATTGCAGTATGTTCATCACAGCAGCCGTCGTCTATACAATATATGTGAATAAACCCAGAAAATTATAACCCCCCCTCCTTCACTCTTGGAAAAATTGTTAGCCCCCTTTTCATATACAGAAAATGGAAAGCCCCCCTTAGAATTGCCCGGCACCCCCCAGGCCAGATTAACTGGTGATTCCCTTAGCCCGTGCTAAGGAGCTGTGCGTGAACGCAACTACCTGAATCGATTATTGTATTGTTTTGTAAACAATCCTTGATTTGCTAGCAATAACAAATGTTTGTCTACTGGAAATCGTTCAAAATAATTATGGAAATGCGCCGGCGCTGACACGATTATTGCTGAAAGTATTGTAGATAACCTATGCCCTCCAATGGGGCGTCTCACAAGTTTATGGTGAAACGTAAATTCGCGAATGAGGGCACGTGCATCTTGCTATATACTGTACTGTGTCAAATTGCATTCACCGAACCAATTAATATATAGTATCAGAGGTACATTACGAAGTGCAGTACATTTCTTGGATTAAATTACTTTATAGGGAACTCCAACATATTTACCACTAGTGATACATAGATTCCATTTAACAATATAACTTGAATTAATTAACTATTCATATGGCAATGGGACGCGAATGCAAAACCTAGTGGCCAATGTCAACTTACTATTTTTGTTCCTGGCATGGTAACTCATTGGTGTCACGGCACTGATATACTATTCTTCAATTCAGGTGTACCACGTGCCGAATTAGGACGATGAAGTGTACAGATGAACCTTGCCTTATATAACACTGTTGTGTACTTTAACATGCGTTTATGTACTCATTGACCGCCATGGTGACTGGCGGGACCAGCTTACAGGTAGTTAATATACCCACTGCAATGGGTCATGGGTTGGAACTAACTAAGTGATACGAACAATACGATCAAAGTTCCATGATACGATCATGATTCATGGTACACCATAACATTTTCTACAGTGCGGTTGTTATGATTGTTGTCTCATTTATCACCAGTCTAACAGTTCACGCATTTCACCACACTTATCTACTCATATCGTGTTATTTTAGTTTCGTCAACTCGGACGTAACGGTTTTATTATATACAAGTACACTTGTGTGATGTGTCTCTTCCAACTTGAAAGTCAATCATATCTCTGTCAGCTCAGCTGTAACAGTTCTGCGCCATGTTGGTTTGGGCGTCCAAGTTTTTTTTTGCAGCCATATTTTCTGTAAAGTGCCCTATTTGAGAATTATTTGGCCAAAAATACGACAAACTTTACGAAGACGTCCATTGTCAGTAGAAGGTTATAATTGGCGAGATTATGTCTAATTTTTTTTTATAATCGATATTAGAATATGTCAAATCACATATTTTAATCTAGCCGATTGCCAGTGGCCGTGAGAATTGTAGACATATCAGGTATTTTAGGTTATCAAAACAATTCCGATTTTTGTCTAAACCCACCAAGAATCGTGCAGAATAACTTCTCATCGAAGTTTGTAGTAATCGATACAAACAAATTACGTAATTATTGAATTTGAAACGAAACATGACTTTTAGGCCGTTTTAGCCAGTGTGAACTAAGAAAAGCTGTCTGAAAACATGCAAAAATGTTTTTGAACAGTTTTCTAGAAATTCATGCTAAGGAATATATAAAATATAAATATTATTTGTCAAAATTTTTTACAATCATTCAACATGCTTTGTCACCATAAGTAATTACGAAATTATAAGACGTAACCTTTTTACCGTGTAAACCAACGGCAGACAGAAAATCTAACGATAAGTTCCAATGGTAAGTAGCCAACGGTCTAGTAAAACAATTTTGACATTTTAAAAACACTACATCAAAAACATGACGAAAATAAAATACAAATAAGGGTTTCCAATACATCAATCACGCTGTATTTTTTCCGTAGCGATAACCTCCGCTTTGGCTGCTATTTTAATATTATTAGTATTATTTATTTTATTTATATAGCGCACTACACTGCGTCTCAGATCGTTTTACAAAGTTGAAATGAAAATAAAAATGGGATTAAAAAAGAATTTGTAAGTTAAAATGACAATAAGATTAGATTAATAACATAGGTTAAAATGGAATGTTTTCAGGTGACTCTTAAAATTAGCTGTTGGAGAGCACGAACACAATGACGGAGGAAGATCGTTCCATAAAATTAGAGCAATAATCGAAAGTGCCCGCCGGCCATATGTTTTCTTAGTAGTAATGGTACCTTGACGCTGTAGCTGACTGCTCACTGATGAACTGAGAGTACATATAATGTCACGATGAATTTAAGATAGTCTGGACATTTGCCTTGGATAATCTTAAAAGTGATAAAACATAGTTTGTAATTGATACGATACTCGACACGAAGCTAGTGAAGGGTACTAGTATTTAGATTGGATAATGAATGAATTTGAGTGTGGGGACGGCGTACGGTTCGATTCATGTACAATGCGCGTACGATTGAAATACCAATAATTTACACACATGTTTATATATAGCAATTTTTGTGTAGGAAAAATAGGGATCAATCTAGTTCTTATGGTGAAAATCATGGTTATAAATAGTCCTACAGTCCCGCGCACATCGGAAGTCACGTAGGCCAAAGTATAAAACAGCCATAAAAATGCACAAGAAACATCTAACTTGTTATGTTTATTTTAACACCTTTATTACATTTTATAAAACAAAATAGATATGTAATTCATTCTATAAGGTTGTAATAAAGAATTATCTTATCTTATCTTATCTTATAGTCTCAAATTATCACGTCTCAGTGCTAAAAAGTCTTTGAAACATGGACGTTAACAATGTTTTTCTTTATATTCATTGCTCTTTGACCTTCTTCCGTGATTCGCAGAGGTATCAAGGACCGTCATGCGCACTATGAAAGTATTTATCATATACCTCGTATTGCCATGCGCATTGCCCCGGCCTCGTAACGCCATGGGAATTGCGACCTCCCGTCAGGGCAATAATTCCCACCGCGCCCGGCTTTTATTATTCTGAACAAAACGCGTCATTCTAAATTACGTCGTGTGTTTGAGACCGGGGTTTGAGGTCACGCCTTGGCAAAATTGTAAACCTTTATGGACGAGACTTTTGCGGCCCGAGGTCGTGCGACAGAAGCACCCGAGCTTGCGACATAAACTTGATTTCCACAGAAAATACTAAATTGATCCATATTTTCCCCGCACAAAATTATTGTTAAATTGACTGAAATTGCTATATATCAATATTTGCTTGAATTATATGTATTTAATGAGAGTATCAATCGTCGATGCTAGCAGAACGCAATATCTGACAATGTCTCCTACTTTATATTCAAACCATACGACTCATTGTTGAACACGCGGAGAAGACCAGTGGGGTATAAACTTTTGTTTATATTTGTCTCACAACTTTGAAAAATATCCCGTCTGATAGTACGTTTGATTGATTTGTGCGGTGAACAGATATATTATAAACTGTTTTCTTGAATATGATACCCGAATTTTGATTTTAGTGAAACCAATCCATTTTAAATGGCGGAAGACCACGGCGAAACATTCATGTACAAGTAGAAGGTTTACAAGTAGTATCCGGAAAATGGAATTATGGTGTGAGACCTAAATAATGTTGTGATCAGTGGTGTCATTGCGCATGCGTACAATGTCAGCCTTGTTGGACTGTGTGTCGTGAGTCTATGGGAAAGATTGCTTCTATCCGCGAAATAATCGTTATTTTAAACACATCTCTCATGATTGAATTACGTTCTGTGAACGCAGTGAGTATTCATTTCATGTTCAAGATCATATTACGGACACAATGTTACTTTAGTGTATGTGCGTGGCTATTTTATTTGGCATGGTTTTAATTACATTCTCAATTTGACGGCTGGTTCGGTGTTTTGCTTGAAAACAAGATGGGGAGCGCCCTGCAAATAACTCGAACATTTCCACAATGACTACCGGATACTAAGATATACATCGGAATTATCATATCGTATTTGTTTCACTTATGTACAATAATTTGTTTACGCCATTACCACTGACAGTGTAATGCGTCAGCCATAACCTGCAGGAAAGTGCGCCACCGCAGCCCAACAATTGCTTAATTTTCACACCTACGCTGGCCACATTCATCAAATTATTTTTAAAGTTTTTAAAATTTTCTGTCATTGAAGATGGCAAAGAAGAAAATATAAATGATTGTGTCATCCGTCAATAAATCTGTTTATATTTAATTCTTGATATTTTCAATTCTCTGTTTTTAGCAAATATTTTTTGTCATTTAGGGTGAAAACGCTTTTTTTGATTTGATACCTGCGTAATTCCTTTGATACTTGGTATGTAGGGTCCATGGGTTGACCTCCATGAGATTTATAATAATTATATAATTTATAGTCTCTCTATGTTGTATAATGAACAGCAACACATAGTGTTTAAAGAACTTGTTTTTCTCAGCCTTGTTTTATTAAGTTTATATCTTCAGGGGTACCAATGAAAGTGTAGCTTTTTAATGAAAATCACAGCTTTGACACCGTGCAGAATAGCTTGGTCAGGAAAAGCTTAGCTGCAGGAATGAATTCCGCTAGTTTTGACATCGAGAACTCAAGCTTTGAACATATTTTGATGTTGAGGGCGTACACAACATGGTTGCCTCCAAAAGCAGTGTTAGCGACAGTAAGTATTTTACTCATTTTCTAAACAAAATCACCAAGTTATGCTGTGTAATAAGCCGCGATCAGTGAAGTTCAGGTTCAATTTCATTTCTAGA